GAATTATCTGTTTTTATTTAAGTTTCCGAAACACAACTGAAAACTAACGAATAGTGTTCAAAAACGCGAAAACGAGGTAATGTTTACAACCACGCTTGAAAATCTGTCTGAGTGAGAAAAGTGTCTGAGCAGATGCGAAAAGGGGGCATTGTTACGTCACTTTTTACATCTTGCTGATTGGCCAATGTCACGAGGTAAACAAGGAAGTCGATGCTCGGGGAAAGGTCTATATCTTCTGGATACGCTTCCTTTAAAAGTTCTAACCTTGTACAATTTCTACCTTATAGGCCGCGAGCCGAGGCCTTGAAAAACGCCTAGAAAGTGAGTTTCGTAGCGCACATCAGGTAACTACCTGAAAATGATTTTAAAATGTTCCTTAAAAATTTAGTAACAAATATTGCCTTGTTCCCACTTCCAAAAGTTGCACGTTTCACGGAAAAGACGATTTTCCTACAAGAAATATGTGCTACGATCTGTCCTACATTCTCTACATTTTCGGCAATGAACAATGACTTCTGCATGACGTAACAATTGGATAGAATCAGCTGTTAGCGAGCGGATGAATATTAGTTATTACTGCTCGACCTTGCGTTGAGTTGGGCAGCCTTTCCATAGCCCTGTTCAGTTATTATTAGTTAAGTTATGCTAAGACGTTGTTGAAAAATTTATAAGTAAGTTAATAAACACTTGTAGATCCTTACCACGGATATGGGCCGTGAGACGAAGCCTTGAAAACGCCCAGAGAATGAGTTTCGTAGCGCACATCTGGTAACTGAATAAATTCTTCAGTTTTGTGTGAAAATGAACATACTGAACGCATTACAGCTTGCTCCACAATCCTGATGCGAAATTGAATATAAGAGGTTCCCGGAAATTCAATAACCATAAGTTTACAAAACATACATAAGAACTATGCAATTCGAGAGCCCTACAGCACACTAACACAAATGTATTCCTGTAATGTTTTGCCTGACCAAAATCGGACTTCCTCAGTCAATCATAATTTATTAGGTAGATTACGAAAAATATGGCATACATGTAACCAACAACAAAAAATACTTTAATTGTGTGACAGGAGTCGCGAGTGACCTCGAAAGCAGCGACACCAACAACGCTGATTCACATTAGCGAATGAATTTTTTGTAATAACCACAAGCAGTTTACAACAAGAACAGCATAAAAAGCTACATCCATTCTATAGAAGCTATCAAACGTATTTATTTTTAAGCAATGAAGTCACAAATTAACATCTTAAGCACGAAAACACAAATAAATCAGTTATTTCCCACTTAGAAATTCACCAGAAAAGTCAAGAAAATTAAATGAATGTACAATATGTACATAACATAGTGAACAGAAATATTACAATTAGTCTTTTTTTAGTTTATGTGGTTATGTATTTGAACAAAGGCAATATTATTTCTAGAAACAGGACTACGACACTAACAAATGTCCGAAAAAAACAACAAATAAATCATTGTTGTAAACTGCTTGTCTGAGGAAGTCTGACTCTGGTCGGACGAAACGTTACAGAAATACATTTGTGTTAGTGTGCAGCTGGACTTTTTAATTGGATAGAATAGTCATGTTTATTCCAGCTACAGTATCCTTGCAGTATACGCATCCACTAGCATAAAGGCATAGAGAAAAGATAGGAAGTTAGTCTCGCGCAACCCAACTCAAATTTAAATAAATGATACTTATTAAATCAACTGCAATATCTAATTCACTTTCTTCTGAATTGTTTTCGAAATCCACTATCTCGAAAATCGACTTTTCCTCTATAAGTGTACTGTGATTTTTGCAGTCAATACAAAAACAAAAATCTGTGCAATTTAGGTTGATTTTGGCACACTCGCATAAATTATTTTGACTATTCTTCTTACACTTGCAGTTTGCCAACTCAAGAACTGATTTGAGGGCCACATGCTTCTTCAGTGAATCATTGTTGGGTGGTGGAGTATAATCCTTATGTTTGCCAGTGTTTGATAGACGTGCCCTGGTATTATTTACATTCTTCATATCCTCTTCATACAGTGAACAAACAAATTCCTCAGCTTCATTTATTAATGCCTCGTTAACCTCAAAAGATCTTCATAGTTGAGAAAAAAATGAATTGAAAACCTCAATGAAGTCTCCAACATGAGTTAGATGGGCAGTTCCAATTGCAGAAAAGTGCTAAAGTATTTCAATATGAATAGCCCATCTAAGCTGTTTGCAACTATTATGATTCTCATATACCTTTACGCTTCAAGACTTCTCGTTTAATCCATTTTATAGTTCCGTTCCGACCGTCGTCGGGTGCGGACGTGTCAGCTTGAAAAGACTAGTGAATGCTACGCGTTGTATGTTTCGGTATCTGTATCGCGCATTATCAACATGAGCAAAGCCCATCCACTGGAATTAAAGAAGTTTATGGATAAAAGATTGGATTTAAAGTTGAATGGTGGACGATTTGTTACGGGTATATTGCGAGGTTTCGATCTTTTTATGAATCTAGTCGTGTATGATGAAACAGAGCGTAGAAAAGATGGGATCACTGCACCTGTTGGAATGGCTGAATGGTGGTCGTGCATGGAAATTCGATATTAATGTTGGAAGCATTGGAACAGATACAATGATTTTAAAGTGAACCAACCGAAAACGACAAAAGAACCCAACACCCCAATCCATGATTTGTGCATATACTGCTATGGAACATCCAATCCATTTACCAAGCTTGTTTTTTAGTAAAAAAAAATTTGTCACTGTGTTATTTTTGCAATATAATTGAAGTAGGCCCACAACATCACCATTTTTCGTCAGCGAGTGTTTTAATCCATATACCTGTATAGGAAAAGCACATACACGTCTCACATTTTAATTTGAATTTATAAGTTGTTGCCCGATGTTACATCGTGTTTTTGTTTTATTCTGTTTTTGGGGGACGGGCACGTACTTGTACGTATTTAACTTTTTTATTAAGTTATGCCCGTCCTCCAGGTCCTCTGTATTTTGTTTGTCCCTTTGTTGTTGTTTTGTGTTTTGTTTGTATCAGAGTGACCGAATAAAATTGATTGATTGATTGATATAGCAATGATAGCAGCAGGGATTAGAGCCTGCGTTAGATCGAATAGGTGGAACATTGACGTTTTCTTTTGTAGTACAGTATCTAAAATGTGGAAGAAAATCATATATTTGGAACAGCATGAGTGTAAAAATACCACTAAATACTAACTAATACCTTGATAACATAATGCATTTTATCTGATGTACTCAATGAACGTATATATGCTCATTGCATCAATGTTGTTTAATGTCATTGATTGCATGTACTACAGTCCAGCAGTGTTTGCATACTAGTACTAGACTATATCTACACTAAATTTTGATATATCACAGTCTGAAATGCCCTATGACAGTATGAGTATGGACTATATTTTAAAACATGAACTGTCTGTCTACAACTTGATTTCTCACCTCTCAATCGTTTCTAATGCTACTTTCCTTTCCACTCCGGCATAACTTATCATTGCTTCCCAGGTTTTCGTCGACTCTATGAATTTAGATTTAGACCAACCGACATTAGTAAAATTGATTATTTTCTTCTCTTTCACATCACTGTGCATTACAGAAACAGCCATTAATTTCTATTTCCAAATATGCTGTGGCCTATATAGTAGTATAAGTCTTCTGAATAGTCAAGAAGAGTCATTAAATTAATCATAAACATTTTATGCAAGCCAGAAAATATCGTTGTTTGTGACATATTATTCTAGGTCTAGCCTTCCTTTGAGTTACCGCACCGTACCTATTTAACAACGTCTTATGAGCTAGTGCTCAACTAAAATTGCTATTTATGGTAGGGATATACAAGTGTTTAATATCTTACTTATACTTTTCAACACCTCCTTAGAATAACTGAACTAATAATAACTGAAAAAAACTATGGAAAGGCTACTCAACGCAAAACGCGAGCAGTAGTAGTACATCTGATATTCATCCGACCACGGGGGGAACCACCTACAGCTGACTAATTGATTTGTTACGACATGCAGAAGTCTGCGTTCATTGGCCCATGATACCGGAAAAGCAGAGAAAATAGGACAGATGGTAACACATATTTATTGTAGTAAAAGCGTCTTTTCTGTGAAACGTGCAACTTTTGGAAGTGGGAACAAGGCAATATTTGTTACTAAGTTTCTAAGGAACATTTTAAAATCATTTTCAGGTAGTTACCTTATGTGCGCTACGAAACTGAAAGATAAATGGCCTCGGCTCCGGCCTATTAGTTGCTTCCAGATTAGCATGAAAGAGGAACACTTCTGCCATGTCACTGTACACATTAGCTCTTCTCCTTAAATTGGATTCAAGTGCGTCGAGCATAGGGATAAAGAAATTTATTTTAAACCTTTCCTTCGAAGGGAGTTCCCTTAAAGCATCAGGTGCATTTCTTTGTCTTCTAGTGACAGCTTTGTAGTTAATATTCGGCAAGGTTGCTTTTGCTTGCTGATCAAACTCATTTCTAATTTTGCTTAGAAAGTCTGCAAGTGAACCGTACAATTCGGCACAAGTACTTAATAACAATTTAGAAAACTTAAAGGGCTTTGCTAACCCTGTGAAAACGACCTAGCACTCTGGACCAAAAATGCAACAAAAACACAAATTCCATTTTTTGCAAAAGGTTGTTAGCATGAAGTCTGGTATCACCCTTTTCACTTACGTCAAAGTGCAAATGACTGAGAGCACTAGTGATGGCACTGTAACTGTTCAAAATAGCTTCCGTGGCTTTCGCATGTGCATCCCACCTAGTATCTGACAAATGTTTTGGCACCTTTGATTGAGGTTGCAAAAATGGTTTTAGAACTAACCACCTCTTTGTGGAAGCTGAAAAAAAAAGGTGTAAATTTCATTGATAATGCCAAAACAGTTCACTGCATCAAGACAGCAATCAACGGATGAGCGGCCTAGCAAATTTAAGGAGTGACCTGCGCATGGAATAAATTTTGCAAATTCATAAGCTAATTCATCTCTTCGCAAATAGTTTTTGACAAATAAGAGGGATTTCCTGATCCTGAATTTCCATAGCGATTGATATGAGCAAGTAAAAATGGATCAAACTTGGCTAATAGTTCTAAAAGACCAAGATAATTGTCGTTATTGGGAGATCCAAATCGTTCATCGTCCCCTCTAAAAGGTAAGTCTCGTTCTGCAAGAGTACAAATAACAGCGGTGATTCTTTCCATTACATGCCTCCAATACTGCTGTTCTACTTTTATTTGCTCCTCCAGTTTTGAAGTAAGCGTATATCCTCGCTTTCTTGTTAGGTAGGTTAACATGGCATTTGTGTGTTTTTCTGAGTTTTCATGAGCTTGGATAAGATAAGAGTTGTGCCAGTCATCAAAACCATCAGAAGCTAAAGCCGAAGAAGATGCATGATTTGGAAAGAGTTTACATACAAAGCAATATACCCGTCCTTTTTGGGGGAATATACAAGCCATTGACTTTTGTTGCATAAAACATAGCTTTTGTGCAAAACCTGGATTTCTTCTTGTACACTCGTTTGAAACTAGAAAATGGTACACAACTGTGCTGAACTTCAGAAGGGCTTCTCTCTATCCAATAGGTTTTTTCTTTATTTAATAATTCTTTTCACAAACCAACGACCTTTAAACTCGGTGTATGTGTAAATCTATGTTTGGCATTATCTGCATAAGTATCTGTAATACCTTGTGATTGACTTACTTCACCAGGTTTGAATTGAAAAATTTGACTATCTCCACTACTTTCATGTGTTTCTTTCCCCCCTCTCTTTGCAGCAACTGAGTTCTGAAATAAACTTGTATTTTCACTGGACATGGCTCTTTCCTCACTACCTGGTTGCTGTGCAACGTCCTGCATTGCTTTTACTGTAAAACTTGCTTCTGGTTGAATGCTAGCAGTTGGCTGATCAGATTCGTCACACTGATTTTCTTGTGCTAGCGTCAAAGCACATACTTCACTGCCAGCACCTGTGGCTTCTGTCTTCTGCAAGAAAGCAGTGATTGGTTTTATCTTCGCTACCATATCATTTTCTAATTTCTTTCTCTTGCGCTTGCTAGCTCCACTTTCAAATCTTTTACTCATAATAAATTTAAGGTTTGAAAAATTATAAGATTATTGCTTGATTTAAACGCAGGTTAGCAATACCAAGACGTCTAATAATAAGATAAGTCGATAACATTAGTAAATTTCAGTTGATAAAACGTATAATTTACCCCATTAACAGTAAGCAACACAATGTCTATTGGTTATTCCAGCAACATATCAACTACCGATACTGTTTTTTGCAGAATAGACTGCGGTATTATAACATAGAAGCTTCCAACAGAATGCTCATAATAAGTACCCCTATTATGATGCAAACGACGTAATAATGACTGTTTACAACGTGGTTGAAACCAGTTGTGTATGGAGTTTTTACTCTGAAAAGCTTGATATATATATATACTTTAGGCAGGGTTTAAACTTGTCAAGTTTTTAAAAGAATTACAAACTTCGAAACCGAATTTTAAGGCCCCTGGACGTTGAGGCCCTAGGCTTCGGCCTGCCTGGCCTAGTGGTAAATCCGGCCCTGTCTAGTAGTCATGTCCGAGTAATCAAGCGAAGTTACTGCCCGTTTGTTCCTACAATACATTAAGTTTAATTTAATTAAATCAGTGTCAAGATTTGTTTTTGTTTTGAAATCAATTTTGTTGTTGTTCCAAATTGTCTACATACAAGAGGTTTGAAAGAGTTAGCAAAAGTCACACATTTAATATTTTTGCGAAATACTGGAAAATATGGACCGATTCAACAAACGGTACATCGCTGTTGATCCTAAAGGCAGCAACATTCTGCATGAAAGTCTGCTTGGTCTGCTAGATACATCTTTAATTTCTGTCGAGAAGTTGAGCTTAATGCCAGGATGTTACAAAGTATTCTAATCAGACTAAGCCGAGATTAGTTTACGGCTTACAACGACTTTACAGCTATTTGCAAAAATGCATTGTTTGAAATATGTAGCACGCCTCTTAGTTCCCAAATTAATCATCCTTTTTCACAGCAGCAGCAAACACGAAATACAGCAGTACATGGGCGTTTCAAAAATGTCGTGTCCTACTTGCCCTACGTGTTCCAGGTGCCCCACGTGTCCCAACCTCACCTGTCTCTCGTGTCCGACGTATCCCACTTGTCCGAAGCATCCCACCTGCCCTACGTGCCCCACTTATCCCTAATACTTTGTTTTCCTATATTTGAAATATATGTTCAAACCATTTTCAGCTAGATAAGATGTTTTTTGACGTATTATCTGTTAGTTTTTTAGTTAGTTATTATTGGAAAAAATACCTTGATGAATTTTATGCAAACTTCACTTGAACAATTAATCAGATAGAGCATTTTTCTAAGGCTGTGGAAATTAGTGTATAAGTAGCCTACTATATTCGATTGAACTGAAGAATGTAATTACTATTTATGATAGATATTTTTCAATATTTTTTTTTACTGGGGACACATGCATCAAGATAAAAAATACATCACGATTATTCTGGCTGTTGGATTAAAAAATTATCTGATTGTTGATCTAGGAGTACGTGATGATATGGACAAGGTAATTTCGGTAAATACAGATAATGTAATTTCAACGACGACGACTTTGCACAGCTATGAGTATAATGTCGATTGAATCAGATGTTTAACATAAACTTGAATTGTGACATCAACAAGTATAAAATGTAAATTTTTATAAATAGTAATTACCATATTTTTTTCAAGTACCATACGCCAATTTTCCCAACGTTGGAACAAGTAGGGCATGGAACAAGCCGGACACGTGGAACAAGGGGGACACGAAAGACAAATGATACACGTATGACAAATGACACACGTGGGACACCTAAAAAAAGTGGAACAAATGGTTCACGTGAGACAAGTGGGACAAGACATTTTTGAGACACCGGCAATTCATGAGGCCTGTATAGATCATCAAGGCCCAAACATGTATATATGGGTGATTCCCATTGTTCTTTGAAAACTTATGCTATATGCGCTTTGCTAGTTTGCTAATAGTGGAATATAATTGCGACCATTCACGCACCACTACTTATATAGTGACTTTTCTTAAAACAAGGCTTATAAAAGTATGTGCACCCCCCCCCCCCCCAAAAAAAAACGTGGAATGACGAGTAATGGTTAATATTTTTAACAAGTACACTAATTGGATGATGTTAAATCCCAAGCCCAATCAGGAAATAGCAGCATTATGATGCTGTTGGTTCAATTCTATGATTCGTCCCCTTTTTTTCTAGCATTTCAAGCAATTTTTGTTACTCTCGGCATTACGCCAAGCATAGTGTATAAGCTATGGCAATCTCGTGTTCAAAACCTGTACTCGAGGTTTATGTACCCTTACTGCAAATCCCTAGTTACCAATACTGGAACCCAGTAGTCAGTGAGAAATGGGAATTTATATCATGCATAACTCATACATTGTGACCAATAATCAGGTGTAAATTGTATGTCCAATATCTTCGTAGTTTTTCAACCTTACAATCTTGCACACCCACACAATATAAAAGGCTTGCAATGCTATTCCGTCACAGTTTTAATTAGACTAATAATTCAAATGTGGTCACGAGAGGCCAAAACAGGAGCTCAGAACAACATATGACCAAATCCCAACCATTCCTCCTATACGGATACAAATGTGACAACGTGTGCTCAATTCGGGTAGATATTACTCAATGAATTGCAATCAACGCAAGAATAAAAAATAAACATATTTTACTGTCAGAATGTAAACAAAGATATAAACAGATAAATATTTAGATATTTTTCAGTAGCTTAAAAACGAACGCTTTAAGCGCGTAAAAAAAAACTCCATCCTGCAGTGGCAAAGCAGAAATATGAACAACTCAATTTTTTCAACTTAAAATCAATAAACAGTGCGTTTATCACAAAGTTAACATGTACTGAATGCGTTCTGACATTTGTAATGCTACTATGGCAATTACAGAATGCGCAGCTGGGCTTTTTTAGTTGCGACGAGGACATCGTTTTGTCCCGCACTCAGGCATGAGATCGAAAGATATTCGGAAACCGGACTGCTGCCTCTATCTCGGATCAAAAGATCTTTATCAAGGTCAAAGCATGACTCTCGGTACTACTCTATGCCAGTAGTAAACATGCAAGATAAGGAGGTCCGTATGGTATGACAAGGGATGGAAATGCCGTTCGCAAGTGCATAGAAATGACCCACTTTGAAGACGGAACCCAATACTTTTCGAGAGCACATTTGTGAATAAGACATTTACGCTTGAATTTGTTCTTACTAGACGGACAAAACTAGTCCATTTCACGTGGGAGTGGCGTCGTCTCCTGTTTAACATGTCACTGGGTGCCATTGTTGCTCTTCTATGACGCTCAGAATCATTCCACGTACAAGTCAAAATACTAAGTCAATTTTGGTGACACCCTTCGTTGAGAAGGCGACAAAACCCAAAAATTCATCCGAGAAATCCTCAAATCTTGTAAAATTCTTAGTTGGAATTTTGCGAATGTTTGCCACAACATCGATGATATAACAGGTATCACTTGAATCAAGTGACGTGAGTCACCATCGTGTCACCTTGCATTATTTTGGCTTTCGAACATCCAGGTTGCAAATACCACTTTTGGCAGTTTTCCCCATTTTTCTCAGAACTCCTTGCAATTACAATCGGTTTTAATTTATCAACTAAGTAAAGGACCTGATCGGATAACTATGTGCAGTTAATTCTTCTCTTGTTTTTATTTATGTTGGTATATCTAGTGACGAATTTGAAATTATGTAGGTATATCCAATGGCGAATTTAAAATTAACCCGGAGAACTTTACTTATTTGCCAGGGCTGAGGATGGTTAACTGGTTACTCGGTTAACCGATTTCAGATGGTTAACCGTTACGATTTATTTTGACTGTTGACTGATATCTCAGATACAAATCACCTTTATATATTTATTGTACAATTTTTGGACAGGTTGAGGCCTACAGCTCTGTAACATCACAATAGGGCAGCGTGATCTGAACCGAAAGTGAAAAATCAGTATCCCCAGCAGTGATTCCGAAACAGCACAAGGCGCAAAAATGTATATTTGCAATTCAAGCACAAGTGCCATATAACAGATTATCATTAGCGGACCCTCCGACAGTGCTTCACGAACTGCAAAAGGTCCGCGGACCCCAGTTTGGGAACGCTAGACTCTAGCAGTGGCGGCGCGTCAATAGGGCCAACCGGGGCAATGCCCCGGTTGTTTTTTCGGTATAATAAAAAATATTCGAAAAATACCTCAATATCGGTTGCACAGACTGTCTACACTAGCCATATTCTCCCGACATGGTTCATTTTTCGCTCGCAA